AAGAAGCACTTTGTGGCTGTTTCATTGTACTATCCCAGCATTTGCCAGGAATGACTAAGGAACACTATGACATATCTTAGGATAGCAGATACCTTACAGGATTTCAATTTGTTACCTTCCAAATACAAATCAGATTTATTAAACTCATTAAAATTCTGTAATCATGTTCTGGTAATTTAACATTAGTAACAAAAGTCAGCTACAAACTTTACACAGCAAATTGCTGTTTTGGCCATGGGACCTTTAGTTTTGGCTAGCTCAGTCATGAGTTTGAATCCCACATAGGTCATGATCATACTCAGTGCCTGTTACAGAAATGTGATGAAAATCTTAGTTATGTACTGAAGAATAAATAAAGTATGATGTGTTCAAGAAAAATATAAACATGTTGTTAATGATGAGGAGTATCAGAGAAAGTTGAAAAGTGGGAGCAGGCCTTTTCCTCTAAATTAATTCTACTTTTCATGTCCTGTAACTTCTGTTTTAGACTTAAATTTATAGAAGTTCAGTATTAGGTTTGTCCATCATATAAGTAAATTTAAATGTCTGAGCAGGTGTATGACAAAATCCCAAGTTTATTTTTTTGTAAATACAAATGTACACATATTTAATGTTGACAGCAAGCAGAATGCTAACATTGAAATGTTCTCTTATACACAAGTAGAACATGTTTTAAAAAATGTGCCTGTTTCTCAAGAAGTTGAAGTTGATTATTCTTTCTGTTTATATTCTGGAATGCAGTGAGAATCTGGAGCCAAAACTGCCATTGCTGTGGGGTAAAGTTCTTGTTCTTTCGCTGCGGCAGTGTGATTATTCTGGTGATTGTGATACAGCAGTGAGGTGTTTACGAAAATTGGTCCAGTCTCTCATGCTGTTAGCAGAAGACAGAGGTGGAGGTTGGGGAATCCTTGGAGCCATTGGACTGTGCAAACCTTCTCCTCTTTCTGTCAGGTTAGGACAGTGAATTATTATGCTGCTATAAAATCATAGAAATATTTATGAACATTGTCAGTAGAAATTAATGTGTGTATTGGTTTGAAATTTATTATAAGTGAATATTTAAAGTTTTAATCATAAAATATTTTAATAGTCCAATCTTTGAGGAGGTGTATTATGGTTTGGGTGAAAAAATTGATTTTTTGTGATTCATTTGACTTTACTTGTTACAGGTGTCGCTTATTGAGTCGTGCCATAGCTGTATTTATAATGGCACAACTACCTGAAGGGGAGCCACCAAAAGTTAGAACAGTGCCTAATGCTCCTGGAGAGATACTTTTGACTTCAGTTTCATCCAACAGGTGAGCATAATAGTGAGACAGTGCAATAAAGACAAGTGTGAGAATGTTTGTGTCACCCTCAGTGGTCTAGTGGTTAGCGTGCTCGCCAGTGGACCCAAGGTTCGCGGGTTCAATCCCGGCTGAGGGATTTTTAAGGGTGATAAAAATCGGTAGCACAACTTCCTTCGGAGGGGAATTAAAGCTGGCGGTCCCATGTTGTAGATTTATGACAGGTAAAAGAACCTTACAAGCATGATACAAGATGTTTTGTAAGCAAAATTCAGCGGCCATTTCTCACCCAAATGCTAGATGGCTCTGGCAGTCAAATCAGGATTGAGTAGGAATTGTGCAGAGTCAGTGGGCTGGTCACTCACCACTTCACGACCAAGACCAAGAAACCTCCGAAAAGGAGGCGACGAAAACCCACAACAGGGTTGTAGAACCGAGAAACAACAATGAGAATGTTTGTGCTGTTTAAAATATACCTGTTTAGTTTTCAAAGGGCCAACCACAACATTTAGTAAATAATTATTAAATTGTGTTTCAACTGACAAGTAACAAACTAACCAGCCAGCCATATGGATCAGAGTTTTTATTCAGAAACTAATAGTTGCTCCGCAAATAAAGAAAATAATTCTCTTTTGTCACCACAACATGGCATGTCTTGACATTGCAGATGGAGGACGCTTCAAGATTTGTGCAGTAGCTGTGAATATATTGAATATACAGTTGTAGACAGCTGATGAGGGGTGGTTCTCCAGCTTGAGGATTGGTTGGGAGCTAAGAGCTCCTGACCACAAAAAACAAGCATGTTATAAAATGTTCATAGGACCTCAGAACTTGGACATTGAATTGTGTTTTATATACCAAAATTCAGTTTGATATCCTGTCTTGACAGACATATATCTCAACAATTTTTTGATGTAATAATAATGTCCATCATCATCTTCATCCATTTATATTATCACCAAGGTAGTCATTTTATGACTTTAGACTTTAACCTTTATCATACAGGAACAGGGGATTTAATTCACTGTGTTGCAGAATTTCCAGCTAGACTTTACCTCAGGGGTTAGCAATTTGGTGGTATGCTAGTGTGACCCATGGGCAGCTCGACCACACAACCTGCGTCACAAAGACAATAAAAGTTAATCTCATCAGCATTTCTTGTATTGTTTATACCTTTGTCTTTGGTTCTTAATACCACACAGAAACTTCATCTGTAGTATCAGTCTTTCTCATTAGGGAGTGCTGTAATGGCTCCTCCAGTGCTGAACTGTTGTCAGTGACTGTTTTATTTAGGTTTGAGTAGAATAACTACAACTGCCCTGAACCTTGATATGTGAATATTTTTTCTTAAGGATTGTGAGGTAGAATTATTAATAAGTTTAGGAAAGTAGATTAAATATAGTCTGCATAATGAGACTGCAGATTTTAAATTCTATTTACTCATATGCAGCAAGAATATGTTACTTGGACAAAACTGAAAACTATTTGTCACAGAGAAGAAGTTAATGTACATTGACTTTGATATGATTGAGCAGTAGATGTTCTCTAAATTAACAACCACCAATTTATCATTATTAAAACAAAAATGGCGGCATATTAGAGCATTGTATTACAAGGGTCACCGTGTCTCTACATGTGTTCATTAGGAATAGGAAGATGCATATTTCAATAACTTACAGTGCTGATTACTGACTAATTTTTTATCTGCCTAGGGGTAGTTCCACTTATGGAACAAATCCGCCTTTTCCGAGCACTGAGGCTGTGAAAGCACTGAGCAACTTGGAGTCACTTCTAAATAATAAACATTACCAAAGTCTCCGGAGTACAGTGGACCTTGCTATTAAGCTTGTGACGGATCCAAGCAACTCTCTCCATAATGCCTCATATGTCCTGGGCGTCCTGGCTACAGACCTGTTCCAGGAGCAGTACCTTTCAGTTTTAAAGGTAAGGCTAACAATTTTCAATTTACCTTATTATCTAAGCCAGAAACTCTCAGAATTATAAGTTGCTATTAACCTTTGAAGTACCAGGCTTTTAAATCTATATATTCCTTGCTGGCCTGATTTAAAACCCATAGTTATATTAACAGCGTAATATTGAAGCATGAATAATTCCTTTAGACAATAAAGATGTCTAGTACTCTTTGTTGTGCACCAGTAGCTCTTCTTGTGCCCCCCAGTAGAGAATAGGCAGATTGCAAACTTTCATCTCTTTACTTGTGATGTCCTGTGGTGGTAGGCTGCTAGTTGCCTGCAGGATGTATTATTGATGGCAGTACAGATTTGATTCCTCCAATAATAATGTCACCAGAAAGTATGTGAAGAAGAGATTGGACTATTCAATGGGAGAAGGATGAACCTTGATATCAGGTGCTGCATTACAAGTGAACCAAACACTGGGTTCTGTAAATCCTTTTACCTGTCTGTTACTACTACTCAGTTTTATTGGATTTTTAGACTTTGTCCATCGTCCAAGGTTAAAATGTATACGACGTTTCGAAAACCGGATGCATTTTCATCTTCAGGTGTATGGGGCAGGGGGCATCTACTCTGTTGGGTCCAATAGAAAGAGCTAGTCTCAATCACTGGATGAAATCAGATCCAGTTTTTGAAATGATGTATACATTTAAACCTTGGATGATGGACAAGTCCAAAACCCCAATAAAACCGACTTTATCACACCGTCAGAACCCTACAAAATCCAATTATTACTACTACTGCTCCATGTACTGTCATCTCCAAACTATTCTGGTCACTTCTTTTTCGAATCATTAAAAATGTTCCAAACAGTTGGCTCATCTACAAGCTTCTCTCCTGAATATTGGTCTAGATATAGTCCTTGTACCATATTGTCTTGACCCAAACAGCAACCTTTCAAGGGACCTGCTATTTATTTTTATAATAAATTTTGTTATGTAAATGAGAAGACCAACACAAATATACAGTGAATATCTGACCATAACAGTAGACCACACCGATGATAAAGGTATGATGAAATGAACCACGAAAACTGAGCAGGCACATATTAGCATGACAGTAAATGATGTGAACCCTTCTATAATTTATTGCTTCTATGAAACCCAAAGCTGTACAGTATTACTAACAAAAATATTTAATTGCATAGAATCATTAAATGGATTACACAAATATGTCTTTGGAAGTGCACTGCAAAAATTTTATTACAATCAACCTACAATTAAATATAAACTTATATTAAAATATTTTTGGTTCATTTATCATTGTCAAATCAGTAGTTTGATTATGTCTTTCAGATTGAGTTATTTTACAGCCTTGTGCTCAGTGTTTATTTGAAATTTACAGAGTATAGCTGAAAATAAGGCAGGAATTCCCACTTACAAATGTTAGGTGTTGTTAAGGGAGGCTGTGTAAAAATATTTATGAAAGAAAGGAAAGGAGTCTATTTGGCAAGAAAATTTATGAAGCTTGTACAGTCGTCTTCTAGAGTACACTGACATTATTTTTGTGTATTCGAACCGAATACAAAGATCACAAAGCCATCTTATGTGCATCAATGTGTGCCATGTCTTACAGTCAATGGGCCAACTAAGGATAACACTGAAGATGGTTGTCTTCTGGGTTGTTGTGCCATGTAGTCTGGTAGAAGTTTACTGATGTTTCAGACATCCTTGCTGCCTCCATGACCTCTGAAACAGTAAATTTATACCAGACTACATGGCACAACAACCCAGAAGACAACCATCTTCAGACTCACAGCTGTGAAAACCTCAAATCCTACATAGGGATACCACTTCCATGTCTTAAAAGACATATTGGGTCTTTAAAGGTTAACATCATGGGATCGAGGCATCTAGCTTTGTACATTTTAATTTAATTTTCTGCCATCAATAATACCAACATGTAGTTGTGTAAATTTATGAGATAGGAGCTATGTTAGTGTCACATAATGTAGGGTCCTAAATTTTGTGTGGTAATAGGTTTTCAGAAAATATGCATCTTTTCTTAAGCTCTACCTCCACTGCCCCATACGTCTGCAAGGTTAACCACCAGGGACAACGTTGCCTTCAGAGAAATTAAAGACCAAATTTCTTTATAAAATAATAATGCCCACTGAGCATAAGAGTGGAAACTTTGCTCCATAGGTGTGCAGGCTTTTGAACTGTTTAGTTACTGCATGTAAAACCTGTGGCCCTCTCTGATGTTTTATGCAGTGCAACTCATTCTTGAATTATACATGTTTGGCCTCAGAATGTCTTATCGTACAGCACGGGTATGAATGTAATAGTAAATTATGGTGGAAGAATTATAAACACCAATTTTCAGGTAAGGAATAGATTTGCATGAGCTAAATGTTACACTGTTGCAGAATGTCTGTTTTACAAGTGATTATTGGTAACAAATTACAGTGGGAACTTGGGGCAGTAATGCTTCTCTCACTGTATCTAGGCTGGCTTTAATCTGATTTATAACCTATGACAGAGTTGGAGGTTGGAAAAGGGTGAGTGAGCCATGGATTCATTTCAGTTGCTGTACAGATGGTCTCAAATACAAGATTGCTTTCAGTTTTCTTAATTGTTTTGTTCTGTTATAAAGTCAGATGGAATCACAATGTCATTGAAACCAGGTACTGGCAAGAATTGGAAAACTGAAGAGGATAGATGTGCATTTTAGGAAAAATGGGAACTATCTTATTTCAGGTGAAAGGTAAAATTATTTAAGAGGCATAAAAGTATTTGAGTCATGATACAATTTATTGATAGGAACGGCAGGAGAAGAAAAGCTGCAGGTGTTGAAGTTCACATGTAGTAAGAAACAACATATTTTTATTCATGTTTATAAAGAAAATGAATCTATGGATGAAGTCATTTACATTCTATAAAAATTTATAGTGCAGCATTCAAACTGGCCTTTCACTGGAGGTGAATTTATAATGGAGTATATGATAAGAACATTTGAAGTTTTATGTCCTGAAAAAGTGAAAGCACTAGACATTTCATTGTCATAAAGAACAATGGCAAAAAGGATAAATGGGATGTCAAATGATAGGTGACCAATTTAAAGTCAAAAGTGTAACTTTTTTAAAGTCAAAAGTGTAACTTTTTTAAAACTTTTTCCATTGTCATCACTGAAAGGAATGGTGGTGTCACACAAATGATGAAAATAACAGAATAACTTCTTCAAATTATTGCCCTTCTTTATACTTTAAGTAGAAAAGATATCTTTAACTGTGTGAAAGAACTTTTGGACAAGTATGAACTTTCTTTATCAAGACTGATATGTATAACAGCTTGTGGATCTATTGCATTACTTAGAAAGAAAGGTGCGTTTGTGACAAAATTGCAAGATAAACTAAATGTATTGACACCTAACTGTAAGTTCAGTGACGTTTGTAGTGTTATTCATCATGAAGTTCTGTGTTCAAAACTTGTAAATATAGAACATGTAATCAGTCTTTTAAAGAAATTAGCAAACTTCGTTCATTCATTCATTCATTCACGTGGTTTAGATCAGTGCTAGTTTGCTGTCTTATTGAGTGATCTTGGAAGTGACTTTGGATGTTTGTTATATAGTGCAGATTCGTTTATTGGCTGATGGATGAGTTTTTGGTTTTCTAGCTCAGGTTTTGCACTGTCTCTTGCAGAACCATTAAATGCTTGCTGCCGACATGTTTCCCATTTTTGGCAGGCAGAAATGTCAGTAGCTATCTAGAATGGAAAGCATTTGCACACAAATGACTCAGTAATCAAGATCCTGCTTGTATCTGTTTCTGTTATGCAGAGACATAGTACTAAAATAAGGGTTTTGTTATTGAATGCCAAATATAAGCTGTGAATATATCAGGCTGTCTCTTCTGTTCTTGTAATATAAGCATGCAGTGTTTATATTGTGACATCCATAGCAGTGAAACTCCTGCTGCCACTGTGTGACTAACCTTGAAAGTACACAGAATGTGTTTTATAAAGTGAAGCTTTCGTGGCGACTGAAGTTAATGAAAGATTCTTGGGTTTCAAGTTGCATCAGGTGGCTGAAAGGTGAATAAACCATATCTTCTGCCAATGTTTTGAAAACAATCTCTGCACTCATCCTCAGGGCTGCTCCGTAACAAAGGAATGGACTGGTTACCCAGCAGCCCTGAGGATGAGAACAGATATTGTTCTCAAAACATTGGCAGAAGTTATGGTTTATTCACCTTTCAGACACCTGACGCGGCTTGTGACCCAAGAGTCTTTCATCAACAGAATGTGTTTGTTGTATCAGACTACCTACACACCAGCCACCCAGTGAATGGTACAAAAATGTAGCATTCCGGAGGTGGGACAATTGTAACTAAACACATATCACATTTGCATATGGACCCACACATATTCTAAAGGTCAAATCTGCAGAGTATGAAACAATTATGTGGAACATAAAAATTCATATAAATCTACATTTATTGATGTTCTTTAAGTTACCCATTTCTTGAGTTCCACCAGGAAACAAAAAATTACAAATAATATTACCTGTAAGAAGACTGTCTTAACTTCCACTTTTGAATTTTTAAACCTTCATTAATTTAAAGTTCTGTTATCTTTCCCAATATCTTTAAATATTTTATCAGTGTCTTCTTTACTAAAATCACAAAGAATACATCCGAACAATTTACTAAAAGAATTTAGAAAGATTGGTAACACTTCTTCAATTGTACATTCCCTTCCCATTTCTCTTGACAAAGAAGTAACTTCTTTTCCTTTAATACCACAGGGCACAATATGTGAAAACCATTCCAGATTTGTGTTACAATTCAAGGCCAATCCATGTGTTGTAATGAACCTGCTACCATGGATCCCAATTGCACATATCTTGCGGCCACCAACCCATACACCAGTATAAGGTGAAGTCTCTGCTTCTATCCCCATCTCAGTGCATACATCTATGACAGTTTGTTCGATTTGATGAACATACCACCGTACACTAGGTTTATAATTCTTGAGGTTGAGAATTGGATATACAACAAGCTGACCAGGCCCATGGAAGGTTATGAGACCACCTCTGTTAGTACGATGAAAATCTGCACCCAGTGACACTAGTTTATCCTCAGTTTCCTTGGAGTAATCGTTTGATCTGATTCCAACAGTGTACACAGGAAAGTGTTCAACCAAAATGAGCGTATCTTTAATTGCAGTAGCTTCCTTTGATGATTTATGATGACCTTCCAATAACTGTTGAAGTTTCAGGGCAGGTATGTAACTCATTCTCCCAGCTTGTAGCACTCTAACTATAACACCCATATTTCTTAACAAACTGCTGAAACTTATTTCACAGATGTAGATAATAATCCACAAAACTTTTGGATAGTCTTTATTGCTAGTCAGGCCACTGAGGTTTCATTTTGAGATAATTATACACCAGCAGTGAAGCCTGAATGACAAAGTGAATGCAGATATTAAGTTACAGCACATGAAAATAGTTCAAGGTCTCACAAAAGACTATGAGCTCTTTGTTATGCAAGTTCTGATAAAACAAACACTTTGTTAACATTAATAGTCTAGCTTGTATCACACTACACAACTTCAAGTGCACAACATATCACCATGCTTCATAAAGACAAATACAAATATACAACTTAAGGTTACATACATTTCTGTCTTGCCGAAGAGGTTAGGAAACTTTTGGGTTGGATACATTTGTAATCACTTTCACGTACAGGATAATTCTTACTGAGTCTCATTTCCAGTTGGGAACAGTACAGTTTGTTTTACACATTCGTAATGCCATTTGTTTCCTTCAGTAGGGTTTTTTTTATCCTACGCCAGACTTAAGCCTCTCTGCCATTAGTCTATTTCTGGCAGCCCAATACAGATTTGAATCGGCGATAAAACCAGCAGGTTTGTTGTCTGCTAGATTGGTACACAATATGGCCGGTTACATACTGGGTCATAGTCTAGAAGCAGCCATTTTGTGTTTAGTCGTAGTTTGTAAAAATATATTACCTTACCCTACACCAAGACATTTAAGTTTAAAAAGTATTTCCGGTTGTTACATTATAAAATTAATCTCACAATAAATTTTATAATTACTGACTTTTCAGGTAATGTACATTTTGGCCATTAGTATGTGTATAGGTTAGAGGTTGAAAGTGATTCATTTCTAACATATGAAGTAAAGTGTAAAAGTGTTATTTTATTAATTTAATTGTCTATAATTTTTTCTATTGGGCATTCATAAATATTGCGTGTTTTATATATATTATAACATCATGGTATCCATTGTGTTAGAGGGAAAAGGAAGAAACCTGTATATGCACAAATGTAAGTATATGTCCATCTGTCACATTTCTGAGGCATTTCCTAATTAAATAAAAGTCTCAAATTTTGACCCGCAGAACATCTGTCGTGACTAATTTGTCATGGTTTTCATCAGTCCCTCAAGGCATGTCCTGACCAAATACATTAAATTAGGCCATAACCTCTAAATTTCATATAATTTAAGTTAATTTATTATTCATTCTTTTATTCAACTCTATATAGCCAGAGCTACTATCAGTATTAGCCACATGGTGTTGTCACACCCAAGGCAAATTAATAGTACTTAATTTTTCTAATATACAATAGGAACATTTTGGTAAGGGGCCCAGAAATGTACAAAACATCATACTGAAGTACTGAAAACATGTATTTTGTTCACTTTCTTTGCATTACATTATCACAATAGTAGTTTTGGTTAATTTATTTGCTTCATCACTGAAGTATGCAGAGCCATGCAGTAGCTACAGGATTGTGCACAAAATGATCCCATTTTTAAACTAACATTAATTTACTTTCACATCTTGAGAAGCTGATAGCTGATTAGCTAGTTGAGAAAATTCATGCCTTCTTTATGAAACGTGAAGGCTTTTTCAGAATTTGTTAGCCCCTGCTCAACCCCATAGCTGGAAGACTGCCCCATGCCAGTTGTCTGCAACTGTTTATTCAATATATTCTCAGTTACACTCTGTATCTAGAGGCCTTTTCCTCCATCCACAATCTGACAACATGTCATGCCATGGTGAACAGGGTCCCACTTACTTATGGTACAGATCTTTGTATGACTGGACATTGTAGCTGAGTGGTTAACACTCCTGCTTCAAGTTTTGAAGTTCCTGGATTAAAATTTCACGCTATTGATTGGCTGTCATGATTTTGTGGTTTTACTCAGTCCCTTCAGGGAAATTCTGAGATAATACCTTCATTTAGTCCATGATTGCTTACATCCAAATCCTTTAGAATTAATTACTCATCTTATATTCAACACTATATAGTCTGTTCTATTGACAGCATTGTTAAATAGACTGTAAATAAATAAATCTGGGTATGAACATACACACCAAGACATGGAGATTTATCCTTAATGGAGTACAGGTTCAGTGTGATTGCCATTTTGCTGTACAACTTCTAAAAGTTGGATGAGTATGTGTGGATCGCTTGATGGCACATCTTCTGTAATCTCTTGACACAGCTGGATGACCAACAGTATCAGTCAGACCAATGTCTTTGGAAATAGTTTTACCTTCATGCAATCCCTTAAGAAGGAAGTCAGAAGGATTAATGTCCAGACTGTTGAGGGCCAGATTTATACACATATGTATATGATACTCAGGATGCTGACCAGAAATCACATGGATTGAAAAGTTGGACAGTAGTACCCAATCTGCAGAACATGTGTGGACAGTTCATAGGCCCCATATAGAAACACAGGAAAAGATGCTTTTTTATTAAATTGTTTAAAAACAATATAATACTGTTTAACCCTTTTCAGCCAAGTGGTAACAGTATGTACCATCTGATTTAACAGTCAGTAACACTAACTAACTAGATAGCTTATGGAACCCAAAGGTTCATCATCAAATTAACCAAAGCCCTCCATTGGTCCTTGACCTGGGCCAACAACTCCTATGTCAGTAACACTGCATTATGTAGTTTTGTATGATTCTCAGAATAAAATATGATTATTTCCCTAAACTGCATCAACCATTTAACCTTATAATGGTGAAGTGTTCTTTGCAGTATGGACTGAATTATTAAATATTAAAAGTGTTTAAGTAGTGCAAATAGTGATTTTAAAAAATTTTCATCACCCAACGAATTTCACTTGTTTCACAATAATGATAAATAGGTGGAACACTGCAGGGAAGAATTGATATGTGATTTATTTGATGACTGTGTCAGTAGTTAAAACTATATAGCATTGGATTGGGAAATTATTCATGAATAATGAACTGGAAAGGTTGTGGAAGGAACCAGTCATTGCCTAATTTAAGGTACTATCCCAGAATTTGCTTGGTGAGAAAGGATAGGCAGTTTCTATGCCAAGATTTACAGCTGGGACCACATGAATATGAAGTAGTACTAACCACTTACTTGGGACAATCATTTTGAAGGTAGAAGTGGTATCCTCTTGCCAGTCAGAGCATAGTTTCTGAGACGCAAAAGGTGAGCTGGAGCAGAGCAGACTGCTCTGGTTGTTCTACTCTCCTGTCCATAGTGCCTTTCCTGAATACTGCTTCACTCCTGTTGTTATTACATCATTTTCAATGGACACCTAGTGACTTTCATTAAGATGATTGTGAACGATTTTCGTGACAAGAATTTGAATGTGAGATATGAGGTTTTCACAGCATTGAATATGAAGATTTCTGTCTTCTGGGTTGTTGCGCTGTGTAGTCTGGTCGATGTTTACCAACGTTCAGAGGTCATACTGCTACCGTCATCAGGGTGATGCCCCAGTACCAGCATAAAGTCTTCATCAGCCCTGGATTAAGATCTGTTAAGCAGATTCTGTAGTTGATTTTATCAGGGAAATTTGCTATGAGTTACCTATGTGATTAGAGCTGTCACATATTTCTTTTTCCCTGTATATATCCTAACTAAATGGAAGTTCCTAGTTGTATTTTGTGGTAATATTTTGTAAAACTTCAAAGAACCATACAAAATACTATGAATAAAAAATGTAAACTTAAAGCATTGTCTTTATCTTCATGGGATTTGTATAGGGTGGTATTGCCCCAGGCACGTGGCAGAATTACCCCGTATATCGGGGAAAGTTCACCAAATGTGCTTTTGCAAAATTTTGTCAAAAAATCGTATGTAGAGCAGAAAATAATACAAAATTCTCCGTGTGTTGTCTTCATGATGAAATGTGATCTGAGCCTTTCACGGTAACTAAGTATAATGAATTCTTCTCGGGCTACCAGCCATGTAAGGTGTTTTAATGGAGAAAACACTTTCGAGAACCATTTTCGTCCTCTTCCTGAGGGTGCTAAAGTTGTAAGGAATCCCATCCGTGCTTTGACAGAAGAAAGAAAATTGAATTTTCCCTTAAGGTGGCGCGATTCCCCCCACTTCCCCTACATGTAAGTAGCGTCCGCCATAAAAACCCTAGCTCCCCACCCACTACCCTCAACACAGCTGGCAGGGCAGTCAGGTCAGTTGCTGTTCTGTGTATGCTTTCTCTCATGGTATCTTGGCGTTTTAAACGATCTTGTAACAAGGACAATAATTCATTGAATGTTGTCAAACTCATTCGAAAATACTTAAAAAAATTATCTTCGTGCCTCGTTACCTCCTCAAAAAGTAAAATGGCCGTATTCGCTGCGAGTTCGCAATATTGGATGTATCCAAAAACGGCGCTGTCTTTGTCGTCGTTTACGTCGGCGTTGTCGTATTATTAGTATTGCGACCAATGCTTCCATATCGGAGTCCATTGTGCTACTGACGCGCGGTTGGGGAAAATGTCTGCATAAAGTGGCGACCACTAGTGGTCGTGCTTATCCACAAGTGGCGGCCACTAGTGGCTCCGTTTGCGCCCGGCCTAAGATAGCATTGGAGAAGGTAACATTTCAATTCTGCTTTCGTAAGTACCGAAGAAGGAGGTAGAATCACTAGCAGAAATCATGTCAAAACATACACAACATACATAGAGTAACGCAAATCACAATCACATGTTGAGAAATTAAACTTCGTGAATACTGAGATGCCCATGGTTTCCGACAGTAAATGTTGTACCCATTGTACCAACAGATTCAAAGCTTCACTTAATACATCAGATTCAAAACAGTTATCTTTATACTCTGCCGTGAGGACCTGAAAAGGTGACTCAAAATATTTAATTGAAATTAGCGATTTGAATGACCAAGGAATGCACAGTATTCACCTGTATACGTATACGAACAGTTTTATTATAGGAAAATAAAAGTTTTTTTCTTTGATAACGTGGAATAATACAATTGATGTGAAGTTTACGAGATTCATGCTGGAAGTTTCAGTTGTCTTGGTTTGCCGTGAACAGTCATTTTGTATTTTCTTTCACGTAAGAAGAACCAATGATGCAAAGGTTACTTATTACTATAAAGTGCAGTTTATTATGTGCTGTTTGCTTGAAGTGCGTTGGGAGAACGCATTATGGACTGGTCGTGTCTATCCTGCCCAGTCGATTCTACTCGTGAAATACTGGACGGATTTGGATGAAAATTTATGTGGAGTATGTGCTATTCTCCACAATCTCAAAATTGTACTTTTAAATATCCCACGAGCGTTGATAAAATGACGGATGAGGAAAGTCGTGTGGTAGACATGGCTGCGATTTGGTGGTCAAAATGAGAACTGTCGATTTAATTTCTCGAAATGCATAAAGATGGTGTGTGTATTCCGGTATGGAATACGGCTTCCGAGCTTGTTTTGTATTATAGATGTACAGATTAAATTTATAATTAGATATGTCAACTGAAGATTTTCCACAAATAAGGTACGCAGACTATTACAATATTTGTCGTCAGTACTACGTTACAAAAGAAAGGAAGACCGGCAAATTGAAATGACACTCACTGTGGTAGAAACTGAGATTGTCTCGTTTTTCAACACACGTAGTAGAACGTGAAGTGAAAGTAAAATGGAATCGTTTTCTAAGTTAAGATGAAAGTGGAACTAGGATACTGAGAGATTCATAGAAACGAAAGAACAAAAATAAATAAAATACCTTTACGTGCAGGATCGTAGAAACGGGTGCACCCTTACGTCTTCATCGTAAGCTAATGCATATATGGCAGCCACAAACGAGATAGGCCTACTTGCTCTGCTGATATTACGATCACGTCTGCATTTGTTGACATTCTGTCATGTACCTTACATGATTTTCTACTCCCCCACTCCACCCTCATCCAAGGACCTAAATGTGGGTTAGTGCCCTAGATTTTCAGTTGTGTACAATTTTATTAGGTAGCAAGTGACTTTTTGAGTGCAGTGCACTCTGCATAATCTTAAGATCAGTCGCACCGAAGTGACCATCGGCATCACCAGTACGTCTCTTACTTGTGACAGACAGTTACTTGGTATGAAAGTGTGAACATTTATTCCTGACGTGACACGTGCATTTTTCCTTTTCCCCCCACGTCTTAGAAGTGTTTCTTTTGTGCCGTGTGTGCGTTGTTTGAACAAAAATGTTCATGAACAGATGGAGCTGTTCATTCAGTACCGCTCATTTTTGCTAATTTTCGGGAAGTGATCGCTATGATTACATATGACGCAGACATTTGTAACGGTAATTATTATTTAGTGTGTGTACTACTACTGGCGGTTTTCTGTTTTCCCTTGGGATCTCCACAGAGCAGTCGAGGTAATAAATTGCACTTTACTTGGACCTTGAAAAAGTCTATTATTTGTGTGTGTGTATGTGTATATATATATATCATGAATATGTGTATATATATATATATATATATACACACACATTCATGATTTATGAGATCTTGTTTAGAAAATAATTGGTGCACATATAATCAGCATTGTTCATCTTATAAAGACGTTCATTTTTTAGATTTGTTTATTCTTAATTCGGTACAGAGACTTTTCATAGCGAAGGTGATAGTTCATTGTCTGCTGTATATGTAAAATGACGAATTATCTTACAAAAAAGGGTTTCATTTTGGCATATTATAATTAATAACTTTGTCAGTCTTTATCGTATGAACTATGAAATGGACAGAAGACCACAACATGGGGCCGTAATTGATCTGTGGTTTAGTCTTCTATTATTTTTAAAAAATATTTTCACCTTTGATAACAATATTCTGAGAACATGAATAGCTCTGTGCCAAGGAATTGAAAGTAAAATGTTTCGAAGTTAATTGGCACGCATTATTAATAAGTGGTGATTTTTTTTTCAAATCTCTAGGTCCTGCACTGGCTACAAAATGTATAGATAACATTATTTCAACTCGGGGGAATATATTAATAAATAAATTATCCTTTTCAAAATTGTTTTAAAATTTATTATTATTTAATCCTGATTTATAAAAGGAAATAAATCATTTACTTAAATATCATTAACCAATTTATCCTTTTAATGGAGATGTGTTGTGTTTTCTTTGCGGAGATAACTGAAATGTAAATACTATTAAGACGAACTTCAGGCCTTATAGGATGAAATAGTCCTTCGTAACTTGGTACATTGTTCATGCGGTTTTGCAGTAACCCAGAGGTTTCCGTGGTCGTGAAATGTGGATCGTGCTCTTCTGAACAGTGATGTAACTGGTACTGTCGTTTCAAAGGAACGCGTCGCGTCTATGTTCAGGTTAGAAGACATTTCTGTTCAGGAGTGGAAGGCGGCCAGAAGAGGACCACCCATAATCGTTTTAAAATGCATGCTTCCAGTGATACGATCATGGAAGCACTAGCAGCTCCTGCCTGTGCCTGGTGCAATAGTACTTAAGCCAGCTTTTCCACATGTGAAAAAATAATGCTTTCGGTGTTTGGGCGATAACTGAGGATGTTTTGGAGATAATCTCGTGATGGGAAATTGTTTACGTTACTAAAACGTCTCTAACACGTATGACCCAATTCGAAACGGTAGGCTTAAAAATCTTCTAACAAGGTTACGTTTTTGTACCTCGCGGCCGAGTAGCCACGCTACTTTCGATTACGCTGATCTTCAGTCATTCTTAATGACTCCCGCAGGCATTGACAGCTTGGCCTCAGAACCAGTTGAAGTGTTGTGTGCAGGCTACGAATCGCACTTTCGCTTTTTCGGGTTGTTTATAGAGATTAATTGCATCCTAAAATGTACTGGAATCTAACCTAACTGAAATGTAAAACATTTACAAACTCCTTTTCTGTGGATCTTTTTTTTATCTGGAAGATGTGTACGTTATTTCGTTGAATATGTCGTATTTGTAATTTTCACTGTTGCTCATCCAACCATTTCTATTGTCCTTGTAAAATGTTAACACGTTTCGACCTTTCTCCAGTGGAACAATTTTAAGCTTGAGTGAATTTTCGCTCTGTAACACGACTTTCAAAATGGACGTTTTCTGGAGCACAGATAAGCAGAGTTTTCAATGAAATGACATTTTTATTTCAGTCATTTGTGAGTCCTAATTTTACTTTGAATATCTCATGTCTGAAGATCTTATGTAATGCAACACTGATCTATGAGACACACACAGTATAAGTAGTTTTTGTCAGTTATTTTGTGATGCAGAAGTTAAGTACCTTAAAGTACACAATGATTATTCTTCAGATAAAATTATATTCTATCAGACAATGTAACTAAACATTTTCACTAATATAACAGTCCCTGAAGATAACAGAAACTGTAATGTGAAGGAGTTTTTAGTTGTGTTGGCTGATGCTTGGGATTCAAACCCACGATCTCAAGGAAGAATACCTGAACGACCATTGTGATTGGTGTGGATATGTTATAACAAATGTATAAAACAAAAATTAGGTGATGTATAATTTCCAGCCATTTTGCATATGTGGAATTATTTCATTGTATGTTAACATTGTTCTTGGAAGGTCTGTTAGGTTGGATAATTGGCTTATAAGCAAGTGGCCTTGATACGTTGATGTGAAAGAACAGTAAAATGTTATTCATTACCAAGAGTGAAAATTACCAACATTTTGCTTTATTTTTATATACAAAGTACCAAAAATTATAAGTGGATAATGAATTATACTTGTAAATTTTAAAATTAAGATGTTATATTAAGATGGTTAACCATTTGCCATACCATTTAATATTTACTTTGTCTAGATACTGTTGGAACAGTTAAATTTATCTTGCTCATTTTAGTACATGAAGGGGCTATTTAATTTTACTGATTATACTCCAGCAGATGCTGCAAAAAGTTAAATCAAAGAGTGGGCTGGACATGTAGCTTGGACAGTGGGGACAAATAGTCTTAGGTGTTGGTTGGATTGAGGTGGTTCATGATAATGTTCAATCATTTTATTTCCTCCAACCTGTCCCCTCCCCCCCAACATTTTCATAGATTGCATTCCATTTATGTAAGTTATATCCAAGTTGGATTAATATATAACAAACACACAAATATAGTTGGTAATAAGTAATATGTAATATTGTTAATTTCTGTTGCATGTTTGGTTCAAGTAAACCATCATATGAACTGCCAGTACATAAACTACAAGGCTCACAACTATTATTGCTAATGATTAATGGATTGATATTTCCAGTGGTGGAATCAGCACCAGATATATGATGTAGTAAAAATATTGTGTATTTTTTAACATTTGTCTTAGTTAGCTATTGACATAGAAACAAATTTCTAATTTAGGTAGAGATATTTTACAAGAAATTGTAGTATTAAATGTCTTCTGTGAAAAACATTTAACATTAAAATTCAGTGGTTGCTTCTTATTTGAAATGTTGTCTTCTGCATTTACAGATGATTAAAAGTTAAATATGAAATTAAGAGATCTTCTGAACATTAAAAGTTTTTAAATGGAAGACTGTTGATGATTCTAAAAATAATAATTATTTTTTGACATAACATTTATTCTTGAATTGTATGGATTCTTTTTCTTTTGTCTTTAATACTACACGTGGGGCTTTAACTGTAGAAAGTAGTAGGTGTTGTTTTTTGTAACCCCATGTTGGATTTTCCTGTTTCATTGGAAGGTCTAAAGTGGTGCCTCTATTTGAAAATGTGCATTAGGAATGGAATGTGGTGATGTCATTTGGTGGCATGACTGGTTTTTAATGAAGTTTGGACAGTTAATAACCATCATACTGAAAATAATTCTTCCAGAAATCTGTCTGAAGTGCCACATTCAAAAACCATCACTGATCTTCTTTAAACACTTTTAATATTTAAAAGATATCTTTTAATATTTAAAAGATATCTTTTAATTTTAACTTCAACTTTCAAACTTGTTTATAAATACAAGATGAAACATATAATAAGAAGGAACTCTTAATTATAATTTTTAACGTTTATGCATGGAAGACATCTAATAATACACAATTCTAAAAGTTTGTGATGATGGTGCATTGTTGAAGTAAACAGTTTTCTGAATTTTATTGGTTTTATTTAGTATTGGACGATGGATAATATCCAGAAAACTGTTTACTTTATCTAATAATACTATTTTTTCTAACCTTTATATTTCCTCCTATATTAAAAATGCATTTTCACCTCAGTAGCTAGTTAAGAAAATTTTTAAAATTCATAATATTTTTATTATGTTGTAAATACAATGATGGGTTCACCACTGGATTTATCTCTTGATCTTAAAAGCCTTGTACTGTTGACATGGTGATGGTTTGACTGGAAATATTTAGTGGAAATAAGTAGTGCCAATAGGTATTAAGTATTGATACTGATTTGATGTGTGTGATGTTTATATAATAAACTATATTGGTTGTATAGATTTTGTTCCTCATTGTACAGGAGAGTTAACTGATTTCACCAGTCCTGCAAGATGGTATGTTGTATGTTTTTAAACTAAAATTTTGACACTCTTAGTGTGTTATAAGAGTTGGGGTTCGAACAGCAGTGTTGATTTGGGTTGCAGTGTTCAGATTTATGATGTCATATAGTCTCCTAGGTGGTTATCAACATTTTGAAGGAATTTATTACTCCATATTCTAGGTACATGGAGAGGAAATAAATTTATCTGAAACATTGGTAGTCACATACAAAAATACAGTGTCAAACCCAGAACACTATAGTCGAACCATAGAAAGTCAGTTTTTCTTCTGTGACAATGTAGAGGTTTTTCATTGTGAGAATATAGCCATAAAAGTGTCTTGTCATATCTTTCATCGCAAAGTTATCAGAAACCATACAGTTTTCTGACGCAGAGTATGTGTAAAATGATTCAACATTGGCATTGTTTGAAAGCACTGCAAAGCTGTATGTACTCTTGGTATCTGAAGTTGAGAACACCTTGAAACATTTCTACCATTGACCTGATTGCCTCATTCTGTATGAGTATGAGTGTCACTGGATTGCAAGTCTTGTAAATTTTCTTAAACATGGTTCTTCAAGTCTGCAAACTCATCAGAGAGTTTGACGTCACTTGTCAGTCCCTTTCCACTGACATGTATGGCAGTTTGACTTTTGACCAGGGGCACAGAATCCAGTGACTGTTACTATAGTACAATCAGTAACTGAAGATTAAAATTAACATTTTACTTCTATAATTATGTCACAGTAGTTGTAAGCTGTAAAACATTGTTCATTAAGCATGGTTAGCGTATTCAGTATTAATATTGAAATTTAATGTCTGTTTGGCAGTGACTAATGTATCTGCAACCAGAAAAGGCTTTAAAATACAGGAATGTTCTCCCGGTGACCATAGTCCCTCCTGTGCTTTTTTATTTTCATCCTCATATCAACATGTCTTTATGATATGCTGTTCTGAAATGTTTATTAATGTATATAGCATACCAAACAATGGTGTATTATGTATACCAATATTTTTAAGTGCATTGTAATGCCATCTGTGAACAAAAACGAATTTCTTTCTTACTGTGGTGAATCCAGCATTGAGAATGGACTCTGGGTTATTACAGCTAATAGTACCACCCATATGAAGTTATATTTTATGCTCGTGTTGTGTGCAATGGTTATGATGTTATTACAGTTCTTATTTGAAATATTATTTTAAATTCTCTGTAATTGTCATAGATTCTTTTTTATTTCAGAATGTGGTGTGAGTGGTGCTTTTAATCATAGGCAGCCTCGGAATTTATCATTGCTCGAGCAGGGTCGCATCATTAATGGCAAGGAGAGCCCCAGAGGGGCATGGCCATGGCAGGTGAGTTTATTAAAAATTATTTTGAATAAATGTGGTATTTTTCTCCACACACAGATAGCATTAATGTATCATAATAAAATTATCGTACCTGTATCTAAATGAAAAATAATATTGCTGGTACAGATTATGATCTTCTAGGTTGTGATGCCATGCAGTCTTGTGGTTACCACTGTTCAGGAGGAACATATCACATCCATCTTCAGGGTTATACCTTGAAAACTATTGGGCATCACAACCCAGAAAGTTGTAATCTACATTATGCCTGTGAGAATTCAAGTATGTTGATGTGCAGTGTTGGTTTATTGTCTTACTGCCATAAAAGTAAATTGTAATTGTGCTGTATTATGTAGTACTGTTATCACAAATCTTTTCCAAGACAGTGCATGTTGCTTGAAACTGAATTAAATCACTAAACTGATTGGTAGTGACAGCAAAATTACTATTCATATGAAGATTGCCGTCTTCTGGGTTGTTGCGCCATGTAGGCTGGTATAAGTATATCAACGTTTCAGAGGTCCTTGCTTCCTGGCAGCAAGGACCTCTGAAATGTCAGTAAACTTCTACCAGACTACACAGCACATCAACTCAGAAGACAGCAATCTTCAGACTCACTGCCATAAAAACCTCAAGTCCTATATGCTATTCATTTAACCAAGGAAATTATGTAGAACTGTGGTTTTTAGCTTTTCCAAGTTAGTAATTTTTATTTGTTCATTTAAACACTTCAGTGCTGTATTTGTTTTTTATTTATGTCTGTATGATTTTATTTATTTGAATAAGCCCAGTGCCCAATTAAACATTATATGCATTATTTCTGAGTTGTAAAATGGAGGGGTGAAGAAAGAATGAATTGCACTAAAGCATTTAAGTTACAAAAAATATGAAATATATACATTAAGAGTAAATAAATAATCATATAATAAGGATCATTAAAGGAAAAACTAATTTAATTAAGAGTTAAGGGCAATAATTATTAAAAGTCAGAGTAGTAAAGTTATTATTTTTAATTTGTTAATATAAGATTTTCTTTATCATCATGTGTGGTCCAAAATGTTTCATGTCCCTCTTGTAATCCTTGTACACTCTTGTAGGTGAGGTATTCTATAGGTTAGGGACAAGGACTGTAGAAGAAAATATTTTATAATTTACATAGTATGTGCTCGTCAGATTATTTGTCTCTTATCCATAGGACATCTGATACATGCTTAACAACATGATTTTGATTCCCTTATCTTGTAATGAGTTTGTTGTTCATAGTATTTCAGAATTATGGTGCTGTTACTACGCTTCAAAATGTTTATTTTCATTTATGTGTTTATTACTGAAGGGAAGGACATAGCCATTGGCAGTGCCATTTTAATTCAATAGACACTGTGACATTAGACATTTTGTTTAATGCTCATTGTAAAGTCTGTTTTAGTATGTTAAACAACAGAGGGTTTTTAAATATACTGTGTTCTGCTATGCATAGCAAAAGTTGTATTTTTAAGTATCAGAATTTGAAAATGAAGTATTTTATGTTTTCAAATGTGTATTATCTGATTAGTTCACACATTACACACATGGTCACATTTCCAGACTCTTAATTAAGTGTTCAGATAATTTATAATGCCAAAAAAAGTTTCACAGCTGTCACACATCTTTAGAATTGAATTTATTTTACACAACTCCAGTCAGTTTTGTGTAACAAATTAGCATTCACTGTAGCAAGAACTGAGATGAAGATTTCTGTTTTCTGGGTTGTTGCGCTGTGTAGTCTGGTCGATGTTAACCAACGTTTCAGAGGTCATACTGCCTCCGTCATCAGGGCGATGAATAAATCTTCATACTAACTGCTGTGAAAACCTCACATCTTACAAGAACTGAGATGTTTTACACATGCAATTAAATATAATTTGGTCTTTTATTTGTGTTCAGGAATATCAGAGTGTATTTGTGTCACAGGTATCACTGCAGTTGCTTCATCCAAAGTTTGGTTTTATTGGTCATTGGTGTGGAGGTGTTCTCATAGATCCGCAGTGGATCCTTACTGCAGCTCATTGCATTCACAAGTAAGTGATGATCATGTGGTGGATTCAGCATTTTATTATTACATTATAGTAAAATATTAGATCATCTGGAACAGTCTAACATGCTATAGTAAACTGGTCCAGGAAAATGCAACAATTTTAAAGCATGTGTAATATACAGAGATCTTTGCGAGCCAATTTAAAGTTGTAAGTATGATAATGCTACCTGAAATTAGAGGTTCTCATCATGATGAAGAATTTAGTCATGGTATTTACCTTCATCTTCAATCTTCAGGGTGAGGCAGAGGTGAAAATTCTGTTAGATGCTGGTAACCACATACAGAGAAACTCTCCAAGTTTATGTTGGTATACTTCACGGCCACGTAATAACACTGTTCGCTGCCAGGGGCGATATGAGACAGAATGGCTGCCATCGAAGACGGTAGCCTTTTGTGTCCTGGATTTCTATGTTCACCGGTCCGTTAATAGTGTGCAACGGCATTTCTGTGGGGGTTCATCAAAGATAGAGTCTTCGTACCACCCTTACCACAGACCTTGCTTGATCTGCGAGCACTTATCACAGCAGCCGTTGTAAAAGTCGATCATGATATGCTGCAACATGTCTGGGAGGAACTTGACTGCAGGCTGGATGTGTGCCAAGTTACCAAGGGGGCTCACATTGAACACCTGTGATGTACTGAAACAAAATTTGGAGAGTTTCTCTTTCCATCGGTACCAATTTTGTGCATCTGAATTTCACTAAACGTGTGTAGCATGTCTTTCAAATCGGGAACATCATTCAGACTAGCTCTGTATTATTTTTTATAATAGCTATTACCTATTTAACACTGTGAAGCAATATTGAAGTATTACATCAAATTTTTACATTGCACAGCAATTACTGTAGTTAAAAACAAATATCAGAACTTATGTGAACAAAGAATAAAACAATTGTCTTCATTAAAAGCTTAATTACTGTACATCTAATAAGAGAAGTGAGGCTTGAGGAAGGGAGTCAGCCCCAAATTTTCCATTTATTGTGTACTGCTGTATTTCATTCACATTCATTACTTATGAAGTGGATGCTCGGCCCTTGGATGGTCAATTCTTTGTTCTAGAAAGAATGATGTTTGTAAATTGAAAAATACGTGGTACATTATAACAAAACTTATGAATCAGAAGTTCATAAATGGAGATAGAGGTGTAGCTGTTGTTCCAACGGACATGCTCATACTTATTCACCCTTCCCAAACAGTGACATAAACTCCCTTCTTACTGTCAGTCAGAATCTGCAGGGACTTCAATTACATAACTTCACAGTAATCTGAAGCATTGATAAGGATGTGGTTTAATGTATCCATCCTCTAAACATTATTTGGAAGTTGGGATAGCTCAGTCAGTATAGTGACTGGGGTTCAATCCCCAATGGGGGCAGAGGATTTTTCCTCTAGCATCTGCGTCCAGACTGGCTCTGGGGCCACCCAACCTCCTATCCAATGGGTACCAGGGTCTTTTCCTGGGGGTAAAGCGAGGCCAGAGCATGATGCATACCACTCACCCCCATCTAGTGCTGAGGTCAAGAATGAGTAGAAGCTATACCTCCACTCCCTCCAAGTGCCTGCATAGGCATGTAGTGGGACAGCTTTACTTTTTACTTTTAAATATTATTTGCGGCTGAATATTTTCTCTAGTCATTATAAATCAGCTTTAGGAATGGTTTAATCTTCATACATAACTAACTCCCTGGTAGCAGAACCTGCAGGTCCAATGCTGATGAAACCAAAGCCTGCCGCTGTACATGAGCCTGAGCCAACTCCATCCATGGAAGACTAAATATAAACAACTCATCTTTAACTGCTTGGTTGCATGAAGGATAAGGTGTCACTTTGTTTCAGTGTGAGTTAGTTACTTGCTTGTTAATATAGTTTGCTGGCATTCACCGACACAGCCTGTATCATGTTACAGTGAAATCTTCAACCTCCCGCTGGCCATTCTATGGACTGCTGTTCTGGGAGAGTGGGATCGAGAGGTTGAAGAAAATACAGAACTTCGAGTTCCAATTGAGAAAGTGTTCGTACATGAGCATTTTCACAACTTCCAGCATGATATAGGTAAAAATAAAATGTAATCTAAAACTAAAATATTATAAGATTTATGTCTTCTGAGTTGTTGCGCTGTGTAGTCTGGTAGATGTTTACCAATGTTTCAAAGGTCATACTGCCTCCGCCCTGATGACGGAGGCAGTATAACCTCTGAAACGTTGGTTAACATCGACCAGACTACACAGCGCAACAACCCAGAAGACAGAAATCTTCATACTCACTGCTGTGAAAACCTCAAATCATACATAAAATATTTCAATTTATTAAGGACTGTGCTGAAACTTCTTTGCCCATGATGTATGAGGGTCATTCAGAAATGATTTGGACTCATCTGGAATACTTGTTGAGAGTTGATGACAACCACACAGTCACACTTCAGCTCAATCCACATACTCCCCAGGTCAGTGTACTGATGACATCTTTTTGGTAACTTCCTGTTCGCTAGAGCGGTCTTTGGGATAGTATGCACCAACTCGCAGACACCATCATGAAAGTTGTCATTATTAGGGAATTGTCACAGGATATAAGTCATGTTCATGGTTTAAATGCAATAAGAAGTAAATGCAGTCCTTACAGTGGAAGCATGATGGAAGTCCTTGGTCCAGGAAGTTTTGTACAGCTCCCTCAGTTGGTGAGTGGATGGCTAAGATCTTCTGGGAATCAGAGGAAATCTGATGGCGGAGTTCTTTCTCCAGGGAGACAACAAAAGACAGTGTTGTTTACTGTGGCATCCTCATTTCTTCCTTAACAACAGTTTGCAGAGTGGTGTCTGCTAGACATTGTGTACTATCTCAAAGCCTGGTTTTCTGCATTAGTTAGGAAGGTAGCAAAAAGATGGCAATGATGATGCATTGACCTCAGTGGGGAATATGTGGAGTATGTTGAAGTGTTTTATGTGACTGTCATAATATAACAGTCTGTATTTCAGGCAAGTACCAGTCATTTTTAAATTACCTTCATATCATTAGGTGATATCCATTACTGGTAATAGCCACCCGTTTAGTTGCAGTGAAGTAGGTATCTGTATTTAGAGATGTGGTATGTTGTTCAGTGGCAGGGTTTTTGGCTGTTTATGCTGAAGAGGTGTAGCACAGAATATGGTTCATCAGTAGTGACTACCACCAGCATATCACAGTATTGCTGATTAAATGTCTTGTTTTATTATTTCCTGCAGTCCTCTCAGGTGAAATCCAGGATAGTTGGTTGAAACAGGTCATAACTGCTATTTCTCCCTTACATCTCAACTAATAATTCGTATCATCTTAACATCTCTCATTTGATACTACAGAACTTCTGTATTTGGTAGAATTGTTAAATTTCCTTGCATTCAATGTAACAAAATACCACTTTCCTTTAATACTTTAATTCAGTTTTGTTCTTATTATCTCCTCAAATTCTATCCTGTTTGCTTACTTGTAGATTGACATTTATGATTCCCATTACCGCACACAAAAATCAGCTAGTAGCACTCAGGCCTAGTGGGTTGAAGAGAGAAGCAAAGTGTGGCTGTGATGTGTTCTGTGAGAACAAGATTTGAAAAGTGTGTACACAAAATTTCCAAAGGCGTTCTTGACGCCACATCTGATGGGTGTGTTATGACATTAATAGCACTAATCTTCCTTTACCAGAATAGACATGGTTCTGACATCGATGAATCCATAAAATTCAGTCTGTACAACAGATAAAACACAGTGTGTCACCTTTATCAATATGTTAACACCTTTTGGACTTAAATCCCAATATCTCACCTGCTCTTATACTCTCTTGCTTAGCTGAAAGGCATTCTTTGATTATGTTGAAATGTAAAGCCAATACTACTGCTGCTGCCACTACCACTAGAAATACTTGATGATTCAAGTTTCTATGCATACAAACTCACATACACTTTTTGACTTTTGAATAACCCTGCACCTCTATTGTTGTTTCTGTCTCCATGCCTGTCGCAGCACTTAAGAGGGGCCCAAGGTCTTTGTCAAATCTGCCCCACAGACACAGGAAGGGCTGTAATGAAATGGTCTCCCAGTGCTCTGGTGGTTAGCATACAACCCTGGCATTCAAAAGGTCTTGGGTTCAATCGCAACTGTTGCCGCTAAGTGATCGATAACTGACCAGAGAATCAGTGTTCCTTGCATGTATGGGAAGTCTGTCCCATTGTGGGTGATATGATATCATCATGTAGGAAAGACATAACAGACACACAGGACATGTCCGTTAGATATGCCTAAGTGTGAAGAACATCAAAAAAAGTTCAAGTAGTCCTGGGAAGAAATTTACCACAGAAGATTTGTGTGACTTGAAATATGTGCAGCACAATTTCATGCATTCCAAACATGAATTTGACTTCAGTTAATGGGAATATGAGTATTTCAATAAATGAAAAATACCACTGTAAAATATATCTTAATTTTTTGTTTTAATGTTATGACAGCACTCCTAAAGCTGTCACAGACCTCAAGGACTGCTGGCAGTCGATTGCAGTCTATATGCCTGCCTGAACAAGCTGCTGCGTTGCCATCTATATCTGGATCGTGCATAGCCACTGGCTGGGGACATGCCAGTCGCACTGGCTCGCTCACGGCCAAGCTGCTGGAAGCCAGGATCCCTCTGCATGAGAATTCAGTATGTCGGTCAAAATATGGTAATTCAGTGCCTATTCGGGCAGGACATCTGTGTGCAGGACACCTTGATGGATCAACAGGCACATGTGTGGTGAGTGGTAACTGATAATTGTGTCTGTGCTGTTTATTTAGCATTCACTTCAGTATTGATATAATACTGATCTTTGTATCTTTATCAAAATGCTTACTTGTTGAGATAGATTTTACCAATTTTCTCTCAAGTATGCTGACACTATACTGTAAAAGCAGGATAGACTACAAATGAGGTACTATGATGTACTTAATGTGTTGAAACGATTAGTTCAGTTTGATTGTAGGTACACTTTTCTGTGAGATGGTGGCAAAAGAAACAATAAATCTGCTGCCCTTTGTTAAAGAACATCAGGTATACCTGACTCAAACTGGGAGACACCTGTGCTGATGAAATTTATGCATACGTTGGAGTACAAATTTATATGGGAATTGAAAGTCTACCAACATTAGGATATTATTTTTTTTGGAGACATATATGTATGCACCCAGTGTAAAAAAGGCTATGATATATCAGATGTTAATGTAGGTTACCATGTTGATTTCAAATTAAAGAGCTCTTGGACACAATGTGGAAATCTTTAAATTAATTCACATTCCATGATAACCACTAATCTCATATATTATCAACATTCACAGAATGGTAGCAAAGCGTTGAAACAAAAGATTATTCACTTATCCATGGCCTTCTGTGTACAGTTCGCGACTGTAATCTTGACACTTGCAAGGAATGCAGGAAGTCCGAAGCGTTAAAGGCAACTGCATAGCAGACGCTATCTTTCCTCCTTCACCCCACTTCCTCACCCCGCAAGTCTCAAGATTACAGTCGCTTACTATACATTATACAGTGCACAAAAGTAGATGTTTATGTGTTAATGCTTAACATTAGTTCACTCACTCACTCACTGTATGGTGCAGGAAATTTTTTGAAAAGGCAGTTATATACCCACCTATGCCTAGGACTTCCCAGCAGTCTCCTTCCTTCAGGCTTCCCAACCAATATCCCTGGGGAAGGACCCTGGATAGGAGGCTAGGCGGGCCCCAGCGCTGGTTTGGACACAGAGGTTAGAGGAAGAATTCTCTGTCCCCATCGGGGATCGAACCCTCGTCGTCCAGTCCGTAGTCAGTCACTATACTGACTGAGCCACCCCAGCACCTACATAGGTCGACAGTGCTTGAGAAATGCGGCTGCCTGTTCACTTAAACTGAGCTGGTTTTGTGATCAAGGAAGTAGAATGTCAGAACATTCATTTATTCTGAGTGGACCAGACCTAAGGGAACAGCATTTTAATGAGACTTGACACACATCAAGCCTTTGTTATCACAGCAGGATTCATTTTAAAAAAAATGTGGGATGAGGAAGTTGTACCAAGATTCATTAAAATTAAACAAACGGAGTAAGTTATTTCGATTCATGAGCAGAATGTTCCCCATGAATGCACCAGCTCTGGAGGGCAAGTCTTATTAAAATGCTGTTATCTTAAGTTCGGTCCACTCTACAGAGTGTCCCCAGAGGAAAGGTCAATATTCTGGGAGGTCATAGTATCAATCATTCTAAGAAAAAAGTGTTTATGTACCTGTTTCCTATTCCGAACAGTTTCTGAGACAGAGCTGTTTCACTGTACAGTAGTTTGGATTTGGCGCCTAATATTGTCCTTCCCTATTGGATGTTATGAACGTCAAGATGCACTGAGGTGAGCAACGCACCATGTCCTCACACGAGTTGCAAAGTGCATTGATGTTGATGGTGGAATTTTCGAAAATGTATTATACTAGGTAAACTGTACCAACTTTGTCACTTGAACAATAAATACTGGTATTAGAAACAGTACGTAATATCTCTTTCTTATCAACAATTTTGCAACCGTACAGTGAAATAGCTGTAGCTTGGAAACCGTTCAGAATATTGACCTTTCCTCCTGGGACTCCCTGTATATTAACATATTTTGTATGAGTTTTGTCCTCTTTTAAAGCCAATGTTAGAATGCTGGCAGTACCTTTCCAGACAGTTTCTTCTGTATCAGCCACAGAGTGGCCAGCTAAAGGAAATTAATAATGTTTTTATTGTCTGTGTACATGTAAATGAGCAGGTTATGTATTTTAAAAATAATCTGATTTAAATATTGTTATTTTTATGTAGAGATGTAACTTCTGAATGGTAGCATATAAAAACATGTATTTTCTTTATTTTTTAAATATTAAAAATCAATAATGTATTAATAATAGTAATCAAATCTAAATCTACGGTAACTAATTTAGTCTCCTACCTCACTGATGTTCAGCCTTCTGTTTGCTCACAGGGGCAGATTGACTCTGTATACTTCGATCTCAGACAGGCCTTTGATTCAGTCCCTCATTTCTCTCTTTTAGGAAAGCTTAATCATTTTGGACTATCCTCTCAGTACGTCAAGTGGGTCCAAAGTTATTTATCATCCAGATCGGCCTTTATTCGTATTTTAGGGCAGTCTTCCTCTCCTTACTCGGTGCTATCTGGAGTCCCGCAAGGCTCTACCTTGGGACCTCTATTATTTAATATCTTTATCAATGACATTGGTGACAAAATTAAGTTCTCGAAATTTCTCTTATTTGCTGATGACTTGAAACTATATCGGGACATACATTCTGTGGATGACTGCAAATCTCTTCAAGCCGATATTGATTCTGTACATCAGTGGTGTGAAGATAATTCTATGGAACTTAATGTTGAGAAAACAAAAATTATATCGTTCACACGGAAAACCAACAGTATTTACTTTAATTACTTTGTAAGTGGTATTTTAATTTCCCGTACTGACTGTATAAAAGATCTTGGTGTACTATTAGACAGTAAACTTTACTTTCACTCTCATGTAAATTTTGTTTATTCTCAGGCACTTAGGACATTAGGGCTTATTCGATTTATTACATATAATTTTTCCTCTTTAGACAGTCTTGTTGTTTTGTATAATGCTTTAGTTAGGCCAAAGCTTGAGTATGCCTCTGTCGCTTGGAATAATCTTACACAAACTGATTCTAATAAATTAGAAAATATTCAAAGGAAATTTGCCAGTTTGTGCAATTTGTGCGGTGCGCTTAGACACAGTCCTTCAGCCAGGTGTGTCATTGCTGCTAATTATGTTTGTACATTCTTGGACATTTTTGGTATAATCAATGTTTCTTTTGATGACACTTATTCCATAAGGGATAATACCTAGAGTGGATCTTATTGGTTACTTTTGTACTTTAAATTTGCTTTTTATGTTATCTATTAAGTTTTTAATGTCTTTTTTTTCTTCCCTTTTCTGTGTTGTCTTTGTATATTGTTTGTTTGTTTGTGTTGCCCTGTAATTGGCTATAGCAGCTGTTGGTGAGTACATTAAATAAAGAATTTAATTAATTAATTTAAGAATTTAATTATTTGAGTTCTTTTGAAGTGGTGATCATAAATTTGTGTTGTGGCAAGTATAATGTGGTATATTTTTTTGTCTGTGTGTGCGCACTTGCATGAGCATGTGTGTGCATACATGTCTTATGGAATGGGTTGAAACATTAAGTGTATTAAGGCATGGTTGAATGGTTTATTGAGTAAACACCTCTTAATAGACCATGATGCCAGGCTCGTGAAGTGTTTTGTTTGATCCAGCACTGTCTCTTCTCTTCTGTCTATCAGGGCGACTCGGGTGGACCACTGCAGTGTAGTATGATGGATGGGCGATGGTACCTTGCAGGCATTACTTCGTTTGGTTCTGGTTGTGCCAAACCTGGTTATCCCGATGTATACACAAGGCTGTCATTTTACCTACCATGGATTAAAGATAAACTTCAACAACAGTGACATACAGGGCTGCCTATTTTAGGAAAAGCAGGAGGAAGAATTTAAACTTCTGTCATTTAGACTATAACCGTTGCTTCGACCTTCAATATGTGACGTACCAAATAATGAGGAAATGTGTTTGCGATTTTTAAGACATAACCAAGTCAGCGGGAATGCTGAATATTGCATATAGTGTATTAAATTTGATGTTGACATATTCTAAGTCATATATGAACTTTTTAGGGCTAAGAAGTTTCTGAAGACTTGCAGCACATTGTACCTAAGTCTCCAATTAGTCTATATTGCCTTTAAACATTGTATTGCACATTGATGGCTTTAAGATAGTTCTTAGCATTATTATACATACCCTTTTATTTGTCAATATCCTGCTCAGAAGTACAGAAGACAAGTTAAGTAAATTAGTTCTATTAGCGGGAACATTGTCAGGTAAGTTTTAATAATTGTTTTTTTTGATTCTCAGTGAGAAAAACCATTTCCTTGGTCTTGTCTCACAAATAAAATAATACTGCATAGTTCTGATTTTCATTCATTAATCATCATTACTTCTATATACATTAAATTGTAACTTTCATACAAATGCTATAAGCACTACATATGGATAAACTGTAGTGTCAGCATGTCTGTGCTTTATACACAGTAGAGTGATATGATAATGAGTATTGCACATGATTGATACCGTCAGCTCTATCAGACTGCAGCAGTGGTGATGATGAGAACTATCACCACAAAAATAGATTTTTGTGTTTTGTTTTTGGGCTTACAACTCCTTGAAATAACCATGTCTAAAAGAATATTCAGTTTACTTTGTTAAATATTTTATATAATTAGAAATTGAGATAGTAATAATAAGTTTCATGAAAAGTTT